CAGGACGACTTTCATGCACCGCCGGTAAATTAGAGAAACCGCTGGCAATTTACCGGCTGTCACCCGACGGTATCCGGCGATCTTCCGATGAAAGACCGACGGGCTTGACCGCCGGTAGTACCGGCGGCCGGCAGCCGCCGCCGGTATATTACTGGCGGTGTACCGATGCTGTGCCGGCGGTGTATCGGGCGTTTGCCGGTCGCCGTAGCCGCCAGTAAGCCGTCGGTGACAGGACCGCTGGTGAACCGTCGGTAAAATCAACGGCGGCCCGACCGCCGGCGAACCGCCGGGACACAGAAGTAAATAAACCGACGGTCCATGCCGCTGGTAAACCGCCGGTTAAAACCGTCGGTACAATTTTTCCTACGCCCATTTTTCCGGCGGCCAGTAAACCGCCAGAGAGCCGCCGGTAATTCTAAAAACTGCCGGTATAGCCATATTAACCGCCGGAAAAAGCCGCCAGTATTGGCTGTTTTTCCTGTAGTGTCAGCGCCACATCGCCACTATAAGAGATAGGGTGCCTAGCCACCATAGTTGGACCTTTAGTGCTTGATTTCCATCATCGAATAATTTTTACCATAGTTGTCAGATTGCTATATATATGAACATTACCTAAATGTCATCAGAACTTTGTGGCCCACCTGCTGTCATCAAACCTCCAACACCTGATTTCCATCATTTATTGAACGTCATCATCAGATAACTTTCCAGTTGTAATTGGATCAACGCCATCAAACTGTTGTCATTGAATTGCAGTCATTGGACCACCACTTAATTGTTTTCATCAGACTAGCATCCTTGAATCGTTGCTGGTAGAAAATCATTAGACCATCGGTTATTGGACCTCACCTTATATTGACTCCTCCCCATTTTCTACTCAGTTTCCATAGTCAAATAATCTTTCTATGTTAAACACTAGTTAAAGAGTTTAAGCTATGCTAGGCTTCATAGTTTTCTTCTTTCTAAGTTTGTGTATATGGGAGAAACTAATACATGATAAAAAGTCAACTTGAATTGGTTGAAATCTTGATGCATGTTTGAATTGAAAGCTTTTAGAATTAAATTTATGACAATCCATATTTAATAATTTAAATACATATAATTAAATCAATTGGCTTGATGAGACAAGACTAATAACTCCAAAATGTGATTTGATTTGTGTCCAAACAAGCTAATTTTTTTTTTCATCCAAACAAGCCAAAATCAAGAGCTTAAAGCATAACAAATGAGAATATTAATTGGTGTACCAAATGATTTTTAAATTTGAAATGCTTATAGTCAAATCAAGCATCTCAATGATTTGAATCCAATTATCTTTTAATTCCTATTATACTAAGGTAGCTAAATATTTAATGAATGATTTATGTTCAAGGGAATCAACATGAGGCATGTGATGGAGTGTTTTAGATTTTTTATATATTTACATGACATCTAACTCTCAAAATTTATAAATAGGCCACTCTCTCTGCATGAAAGTAAAACTTATTCTAGATATTCAATAGAGCTTAGAAGCTTTAAGAATCCCAGTGCTCTAGTTATGTACCATCACTATCCATTCGCCACCCAATTATTGTCGTCAGACTTTCATTGCCTAATCACTTCCAATAGACCTTTATTACCTAACAAGTACGCCAAACCTTCATTGCCCAACTCCTATCATCAAACTTTAGCTACCTAATAATCTTTGTTGAAACACATATTGATTTGATTAATCTTAGAGCTCCAATCAAGTACTATTATCATCTCAAATTATGACATCAAAATATCACTATCCAATTAGCATCATTGAACCTTCATCACTTAACTTCTACCATCAGAACATATCCCCTTAACCATCATTGCTGAAACACGAACTAATCATCATACTATCACTCAATAATTATGGGTTCACTACCACATCATTATTATAAGAGCTTTGGTGCCTAGCCACCATAGTTGGACCTTCAATGTTTGATTGCCATCATCGAATAATCTTGATCGTAGTTGTCAAATCACCATATGACCATTACCCAAATGTCGTCAGACCTTTGTAGCCACCCGCCACTGTCAAACCTCCATTACCCGACTACCATAATCTAATTATCTATTAAATGTCATCATCATACCCATACTCAGTTGCAGTTGGATTGTCGGCATCAAACCATTGTCTTCAAATAACAGACATTAGACCACCACTTAATTGTTCTCATCAGACCAGCATCATCGAATCGTTATAGGTAGATAACCATTATGTTGAGATTGTTGTAACTTAATTTTTCAATTGTTGATGAGATTCATGCAACATATGTGTTTTTGATGATTCCAACTATTATTATTTTAATTATAATTTCCCTAACATATTTTGGAAGTATTATTTTTATTATTTGTGTGTGCTAATATTTTAGGAAAATCATATTTCAGATTATTGAAGAATTCAAATCAGATTAGATTAGAATTCATTGTAAATGAAGTCAGTACTTTTCATTTTATTGAGTCTAAGAGAGTGTGATTGTAATTGAGTAACTATGCACACACACATTGGGAGAGTGTTTAAAATTATAATTTTTTAAAAACTAATCATACTGTACAAACTCATTTCCTTTGTTTAGTTATTTTTCCGTATGAGCAGTCAAACGAACTGTAGGTAGAATTTTTTTTTTAAGTATTGATCATACTATACGAAGCTTCCTTCGTACAAATGTCGTCTAAAGTATGAATTAAATGGGTCACTTTTTGTCCTGATGAATCTCAGAGTTTTTTGAACCGATCATACTGTAAGATATCCTATTCATAGAGACGATGTCTAGAGTACGAATTTGACGGATCCCTTTTCATCCTGATGAATTCAAAGTTTTTTGAATTGATCGTACTTTATGATGTCATGTTAGTACAATTGACGTCCAGAGTATGAATTGGATGGACCCCTTTTCATCCCAATGAATTTAAAATTTTTCTGAACTGATTGTACTATGCGATATCATGTTCATACAGACGTTATCCAGAGTATGAATTGGACGGATCCCTTTTCATCCTAATGAGCTTGAAAATTTTGTGAACGGATTGTACTATACGATATCCTATTCATATAGATGACGTCCAGAGTACGAAAATATGGGATACCTTTTCATCCCGATGAAGATGAAAATTTTTCTAACAGTTCATACAGTACGAACTTGGTTCGTACTGGACGATCGTCGTATATGAAAACATTTCGTACAGATTCACAAAAAGCTTATAAGCAATATTTTTTGAACTATTCGTATGTACGAAAATATGATCGTATTGTACATTAGTACATGCTAAAAATGAAAATTTTCAATTATCTGGATGGCTTTTCGTGTCTTTCATATAAAAGGTCCTTAAAAACTGACATGAAAAAGAGTTCTTCTTAGTAATTTTTCAAGAGCAAGTGAAAGAGTGTATTTGGAAGAGTGTTTGAGAGAAATTTCTTGTAATAAGAGTGTGAAGGGTTCACAAGATTACTCAAAGGTAAGGATCTCTTTGTGTTTTTGGTTACTACTCTTCTTTTCTTCTTTCTAGTTGCTCAAGAAAAAATCTTTGAAGTAGACGATGGTTCTCTGCCGACACTTGGAGGATGTGAAAGGATAAAGATTTTTTGCCGATACTTAGAGGGTGTGAAAGGACGACAGTTCTTTGCCGACACTTGGAGAGTGTGAACAGACGATCTTCTCTACCAACACTTGGAAGGTGTGAAAGGACGACGGTTCTCTACTCTACCGACACTTGGAGGGTGTGTGAAAGAATGACGGTTCTTTGCTAACACTTGGAGAGTGTGACAGACAACGTTTCTCTGTCGACACTTGAAGGGTGTGAAAGGACGACTGTTCTCTGCTGCACCGAGGATTGGTGGAAGAGAGGAATTATAAAGGCTTCTCTGCCTTGCTGTGGGGGCAAAAGAAGAGTCACTTTGATAATAGTACAATACCTGAAGAGGGAGTCTTCAGGGAGTGGATGTATGTCATGTTTGACCGAACCACTATAAATCTTTGTGTCTTTTTATTTTCTTCATTTATTTTATGCAATTTGTTTACAGTGATTGAAAAGCTTATTTTAATCTAAAATGAAATTGCTATAAAATTTTAAATGATTTTATATTAAAAAATCCAAAAGAATTTTTAAATTAGCAATTATCCACCCTCTTGGTTAGCATTGAGACAATTGCTTAGATTTAACAACCTATACAGAATCAATACATTAGACCATCGGTCATTGGACCTTCTCTGCTATAGTCACATGAAAACCTTTCACCTTATATTGACTCCTCCCTTATTTTCTACTCGATCTCCATAGTCAAATGATATTTCTATGTTCAGCACTAGTTAAAGAATTTCTGCAATGCTAGGCTTTATAGTTTTTCTTCTTTGTAAGTTGTTCACATAAAAACCAATGTCACCTATACTCTTTTAATTTATTTGTTTGTGTTTTAGATATTCGTAGAAAACTATGATGCAAATACCCTCATTTTACTACTGTGAAATTTCTAGCCTGCAACAATAACAAAATTTGAATCATATTTAACTCTTTTGATAAATACTCTACAAATTATCACAATATATAAAAATACATGAATTTATTAATTTGTTTAGATAAATGTTAATTTTATAAATTACATAAATTTTAATAATATATTAAAATGTCCCCATTTTTTCCACAAGATCAGCAAACCTAGTAATTAAACTGCATATGAATATGATGAACCAATTTAATTAATAAATAAATGACGTATGAATGAATCAAATACAAATATTTACTAAGTCCCAAAATTTAAAAGATGCCGTTTGCTTGTGGGTATAGACAACGCAAGCGACACCAACATGCGAGACCGACCAAAGAGTAAACAGACTGCTTCCCATGGGCGACGCATGAGCATACGACCCGGTTAACCGATAGTGAGCGGTCGTTTGCGAGTCCTAGGTTCATGCCGTGGGCCGAGTCCACCGCTTATCGCCCGTTTCAAGTCATAAGATTGGCAGGACTGATGGGGCGGACGTACAGTAGCTTAAACGATTCCGTGGCATGTTAGAAGCAGAAGCAGGAAATAAACGTCAGATATGTGCTACTCACTCCAGGGCAGATGAACTTTGACAGTGACAAATGTTTATATATACCTGCCCTGGTGGACTTACATTGGTGCAGCGGCCATGAAACAATCGGCTTTGGTTCTTCTCTTCTACACCCTAATCCTCTCCAGGTTATTATCTCTATCTTTTCTGTCTGAAAGTAGAACTTACGTGATTTTTTAGTGCTGTCTGTGGCTAATCAATTTAGTTTCAATTTCGTTGCCCTTAATTAATTGGAATGTGCTGGATTGTTGCATACCAGTATTTTGTACAAGAAAATTTGTATTTTGGTTCGTTTGTATTGTATTTATTGGGAAAAATATCCTGTCTGCTTTTCTAATAAGTAACCTATTACTTCCTGTTCTAAAGTTCCGGCAATCAGAATTTGCGTTAAATGGTGTTCTTCGCATACGCTGCCCATATTGAGAAATTTTCTTGCTTTGCCCTTAGGTATGCAAGTCTTTATTTTTATTCAGAGAAATACTATACCTTTTTTTTTTTAAAGCCGACAAAAAATAATATTACATATGAGGATAACTAATACAAACGCATCTCAAACAAAAGCAGACTTTCACTGCCCCATAATTTTATGTAGATTTTTTTGTTGTAAAAGTTCCTGATGTGCACGATAACATGTGAATAGTGAAATTTTACAAAACTTCTGAAATCAAAACTTTCGGTACAAATTTCAAGCTTCTCTTTATGTCGGGTTATCTTGAAATTTTATGCAAAAGTGGTTCATTTGCCACCAATTTATTCTTTCAAGTGATAGGAACTGCAGCCGCTTGTGCATGATAGCTTCTGGTGCTAATACCAAGAAATCATCTATATCTGGTCTTCAAAGGCAGCAATTTTTTGATAATTTCTTGAGCTAATTAAATTTTTCATTTTAACATTTCAGCGGATTATTTGAAGCGTTTGGAAAAGATTTTTCTACACCACCACGAGGGTGGAATTCTTATGATTCTTTTTCTTGGATTGTTGATGAAGAAGAATTCCTTGACAATGCACAGGTTGTGTCCAGCAGGCTGCTTCCTTCTGGATATGAGGTGAGGGCTCTAATGCTTTGTTCTTTACTTTTGGTCACCTTAAAAAATGTTGAAGTTCCTTATTATGCTTCTACAAACATTGTACAGTATGTTGTCATAGACTACTTGTGGTATCGGAAGAATGTTAAGGGATCATCATCAGACTCTTATGGTTATGATAACATTGACGAATGGGGACGATTAGTTCCTGATCCAGACAGGTGGCCATCTTCTAGGCATGGAAAAGGGTTTAAGGAAGTTGCCCAAAAGGTGCATGACTTGGGTTTAAAGTTTGGGATTCATCTAATGAGAGGAATAAGTTTAGAAGCAGTTAACAACAACACAAAAATCTTGGATGTTACCACGGTATTCTTTCTCCTGTGGTCAGTGTTTTCTTTTTAATTATATTTTAAGTGTTCTTTCCTACCACAACCTTGATGAGTAACTTCTTTGTAAAAAGCATTTGTAAGTCGATTTAGTACCACAAAATTTATTAAGCTATCACCAGGAGGAATAATGAAGATTTAATCTGTATATTTGTTCTGCCTCTAAAAGTAATCATAAAAGTGAATCTACCATAAAATTCTTCTTACTTTCGATGACAAGATTGGATGATTGCATACATCATAGACAATTTAAAAGAGATAAATAGGTCTGCAAATATAATTATAAAATGGAGAACAATGCAAGAATAGTAAGAAATATTAGCAGTCAGATCATCTAAGCTCTCCTTCCTATGAAAAGAACTCTATCTTTGATCTGGTGAATGATCCCTTTTTTTTCTAGTTAACCTATAATTTCTGTTGCATCAAAACGAGTAAATTAAAAGAAAAATGAAATTCCGATATGCTTGGTAGAATATTTGGCTGAAAACTTTTTTTGGCTATATCACAGTACACGATTTATGTTAAAACAGTATAAACCTCCCTATTTAAATATTTCATTACTTTTGATTGCCTCTTTCTGATTCTTCTTGAAGCTAAGTGATTTTGTTGCTGTCAAATGCAGTATAATGAGGGCTACACCAGTTCATGTGCTATTGGTGGTAGCTTGGTAGCAATCTAGCACCACTAACACAGTGGTATATGATTTTGCACCTTTTTGCCATCATATTTGAAGGCTTAAACCAATGGCAGCCTACCTAGATCCTAGAGGTCCTTTGGGATGTATGGGCACTTCTGTGAAGGAAAGAGAGTGGTGGAGGAGATGCATTTATATTCATAGATTAGTATTAATTGTCTTATATTTTGGATCTCTGAAATGAAACAGCAACTATGAAGACCCATTTTGTCAACTGTATTGCTGTTCCTCAAAAATTTCAACATGACTTTCTACTTAGAACCATATTTTATTCGAATCATAATGCTGTGGTTTTGAACTCCTTTGATTGTTGGTATATGTCTCAAATAAACACAGAGAAAATGATCAAAATGGTCTCTCAATTCTTTGTACAACAACAACTACAAAAATAATATCAAGCCTTTATCCCACTACGTGGGGTCGGCTACATGAATCCTTTTTCTCCATTGTGTCCTATTAAAAGTCAAATTCTCGTTTAAATCTAATAAAGAAAGGTCATTCCTAATATTTTCTAACCAAGTCTTTTTAGGTCTACCCCTACCTTTCTTAACATAAGTCAAATCTAATACCTCTACTCTCCTAACCGGGTCATCGGAAGGCCGCCGTTTTATGTGACCAAACCATCTAAGGCGACTCTCTCTAATCTTATCTTCTACTTGAGCTACTCCAACCTTTTCACATATATGCTCATTTCGTAACCAAGTCTCTCAATTCTTTGTGAGGGACTAAAATGATCCCAAACTTTTTTGAGGTACTAATTTGGTCCCTCATCAACTCCTAAAAAATGGGCCATTTTGATCCCAACATCAAATTTTAGGGTTAACTTGTTAAATCAAGGAGTATTTTGATCATTTTTTTAATTAAATTATTTATTAAATATAATTTTTCAAGCAATAGTATTTTTTTTTAAATTATTAAACATTTCTTTTATAAAATTATTAATAGTTTTGGTTTTAATTTCAAAAATTCTTAATAATTCTAGTTTGAATTTATAATCATTATAGAATAGAATTGTTAATAACTTAAAAAAAAATGCTATTACTTGAAACTTATATTTAATAAATAATTCAATTAAAAAACGATCAAAATATCCTTTGATTTAATACCTTTAATCCTAAAATTTGATGTTTGGATAAAAAATGTCACTTTTTGAGGAGTTGCGGGATCAAATTGGTCCCTCAAAAGAGTTGAGGATTAGTTTGGTTCCTCACAAAGTGTTGAGGGACCATTTTGATTCTTTCTCTAAACACATATAATTACTTTGCTCTTTAATTTTTGAAAGGAAATTTTGCATAATTTTGTAGTTTGCACTGACAAAAGGAAATTCAAAAACCTGTTTTATCTTTACTAATGTATTACTAAGCTCAAAGTCTTAGGTAAAGGAGAACTTGAGTCTTATAAAAAGATATTTCAGGACCTGTATGTTTAAATTACTTGAACTAGCCCAATGATATAAGATTCTGATGCTTTTCCCATATTCACTGGCCATCAGCTGTTAGGCTTTTGAGCAATGTTGGGTGACTTTATCTGTAGATACTAATGTTTTGATGTCATGTTGGGGTCTATTTCTTCACTTTGAATGAAACTTTTATATTTCAGGGACTTCCTTATATGGAAGATGGTAGAACATGGCTGGCGGGAGACGTAGGATTGAGAGATATGCCTTGTGGATGGATGAAGAATGGATTTCTGAGTGTAAATACAGATTTACGAGCTGGGAGAGCATTCTTGAGGTCTCTATATCAACAATATGCTGATTGGGATGTTGATTTTGGTATATTTCCAGCGTTTTCACCCTTACAATTTGATTTGTTATCTATTTATGTGTTGAACTTATAATATCAGTTAAAAACGCTCAATAACACCTAAATAGTTACATGTACTTATATGTCATTTTAATATCTTACTCACATTAAAGTCTATGCATGAAAAGTTGTGTTTTATTTTAAATAAGATAATATTAGCAATATTTTTAATGTTATTTTGATATTTGAGTATTATATAAATAAATATAAAAATTTAAGAAGTAGATATGAAAATATATAAGAATTTTGTGTTATGTATATAAATCCCTCATAAACTATTTCAATGCTGGAAGCAACCTGGCTCTAGAATTGTAAATTGGTAACTTAAATGAACAGAGGGTATAAGTATGGTTTGCCAACGCTTTACTATTTTTTTTCTTTTTTTTTTTTATAAATTTTTTAATTGCTAACTCCTTACTTCTAAGGCGCTATAGTTTCTTATTCCCTTTTCTATTTTTCTTTCTTTTTAGTAAAGCTTGATTGCGTATTTGGTGATGATTTTGACAAGAAACAGATAATTACAGTTTCAGAGGTATAGAGTTGACACTTTATATTATAGTTATGTTCTAAAATTGTTAGTTCATTAGTTTTATTAATTAACATGTAATGTATTAGCTGTACTTCGATGTATTGTTTTTATAGATTTTGGAAGGCCTTGGGCGCCCTATCCTATTTTCTCTCTCTCCTGGGACAAGTGTGACCCCATCCATGGGAGAGACCATTAGTGATTACGTGGATTTATACAGAATAACCGGTGATAGTTGGGATAATTGGAATGACGTTGCAGCTCATTTTGATGCGGCAAGGTATGCATCAGTAGTATTTTCTTGATATCTTTGTCATTGCCTACATGTAAGGATGTGTCATTATAGTCTCAAAATACTGTTATTTTTGAAGAATTTGTATCTGCCATATTATTATTATTATTATTATTTTATTATTTTTATACAGGGATTTCGCTGCTGCCAAGCAAATTGGTGCTAATGGTTTGCATGGAAACTCTTGGCCGGACTTGGACATGCTACCGCTTGGGTGGCTTACAGATCCAGGTGAAGTATTATGAAGCCTGACAAAATTCACCTTTAGTGCTGCTTCTTGAAGCTTTTAAACTTTCAAAAGAAAGTCGGCAAAGTGATGCTTTATCCGGCAGCTTATTGGCAAAATGACGTCTAAAGCTTGTTTTGAGGCCTTCGACATCTTTTCAACTGGAATTAAAACTCATTAGTGATGCAGTGCATTGTTAGGAGTATTTTATGACCACTATCATTTTCTGTTTCTTCTACTTTACCTTTTGCAGTCTTTTATCCTTTTTCTGTTATTTTAGAAAGGTGGAACTTATACAATGTAGTAGATTGATTTGATAAAGGAAAGGTAAAGGCTGCTGTCTACCTTCAGCCTTTTTTAAGCCATTAACTAGTAACAGCAGAACAACAGTAAGGCAGAAATAACAAGAAAAATAAAACACTCTATTCTTAAAATATATCATTTGCTTCTTATGCTCTTCTCTTTGCCTATATATATATATATATATATATATATATGGCAGTGGTCCCCATTTTCTAGCCAAATAACTGTGCACAGGATTCTTGTAGCGAACCATACAAATACGACTTCCGCCCGCACAAACTAGGGTTTCATCGCCAATAGCTGGTCGGTATTTTCAGGGAGCGAAGCGCCGTCACAGAAAGGATCCCAACAACGAAAACACCCATCAGCTTCAAACCCCCGGCAGATTCAACCCCTTGCCTGGAACACTCAGCAGCTTCAAACCTTGGCTACGAACCCCTCCGCAGCTTCCACCCCATGCTTCGAACCCTCAGCATCTTTGAACCTTGGCTTCAAACCCCTAGTACCGTCAAACTTGCAACGACGTCGAACACAAGTGTTGAATCCGAGCAACAAAGCTTGGGGATGTCGAACCCTTAGCATTGAACTGATCCAGTAAGTCCGTTTGAATACGTTGCTCGCCATTTTATTTTGCCAGATATTTTTATTATTATTGATTTGTTTTAATTATTTATATAGATAAAGAAGCTTTGTCATTTGAATTGGATGAATAAATTTTTTTCATTTTTTTGGTGGTTGCTATCCAAATTTTATATTTTGTAGATTTATTAGATTTTAATGGTTTGCTTTTTTGTTTGAAAATAACATATAATAAATTGCTAAAATAAAAAAATGATCAAATTTCCCGTCATTTTAACACTATTAAATCTTAACTTGATGGTGTAACAACCCAAACTATTAGTTATCGAGATATTGTCCTCTTTGGCTTAAGGTCCTTATGGTTTTGTCTTGTTGGTGTAATTTTTCAGGAGCTCAATCATCTCAGGATTTCTCCGGCATGAGCAGGTTTAACTGCGGAGTTTCTTGATGAAATTCTAACTATTACACCGAAAGACTCATCGATTTTTAAAAGTTTAGCATCTTTTTACTTAAGAGGTTTCACAATCTCCCCCACTTAAGTAACTTACATCTTGGTCAGCATCTTTATCCTGGAATTATTCACCAAGAAGATATAATTCTAGAGGGCCACCAATAAGTTCAAGTGGTAATTTCCACTACGTAGCACTTTATCCCATATAGGGTTCAAGAGGTGGCTCCCATGGCGTAACATTATCTTTTATAAAAATTAGTTCTCATCTTCCAACTGGTATATTGCTCTGATCGCATTTGTAACAGCCCAAACTATTAACTTTCGAGATATTATCTGCTTTTCCCTAAGGGTTTCATGGTTTTGTCCTATTGGTGTATCTTCCCAAGTGGTCACCCATCCCAGGATTTCTCCAGGATGAGCACGCTGAACTGCGCAGTTTCTTAACGAAATTTTAACCATTACGCCAAAAGACGCCTCGACGTTTAATTGTTTAGCTTCTTTTTACTTAAGAGATTTCACATGTGGGGCCAAAATGGTCTCATTTTAAATAGTTGAGGGATCAAAATGGTCTCTTAACTTAGTTGTGGATCATTTTGATCATTCCTAAAGAGTTAATTGACCATTTTGATCATTATATACATACATATATATATATATATATATATGTTTCTTTTTCCTTACTCTTGTTTTGCTGTTACTAGTTAGAGCATTGCATGCCATATTCGTATCCAAGCTCAATGCTTGGGAAGAATGGCTGAAGGAAATCATTGTAAGGCTCTAGATAAAAATCAGAGCTTAGATGCCAAAGAAGCATTGTAAGTTAATTATAAGAGCTTTTGACAAAGTTCTTTCGATTATCAGTTGAAATGAGATAAGAAGTAGAAGCAATTTGAGCAAGTGGAGGCATCAATCTAATTGTTCGTCGAGCAGTGCCTGCAACCACACTAGCCGCTCATGTTAAGGTCATCGTCAAATGAGAAGCGCAAAGGAATCCTAGAATGATTGTAGAGATTGCAGATTCAGTAGGAGAATATGATTGGCAGCCTCATGCTGAAGTGACGGATTTTGAGGATGATGACTATCGCCTTCATAATCCAACAAAACAACCACATGATAGGTTTCATGTTAAAATGGATATTGCATTCTTTGATGACTGTTTGCATATTGAGGACTATATTGACTAGGAAAGAGCTATAGAACTTGTTTTGATTTCATGAAAATATTACCAGAAAATATGTAGGTTGAAAGGTGGTGCAAGTGCCTGATGGTTACAGCTCTTAGAAACATGGTGCTGAGAGGGGAAAAATTGTGTTTGTAGTTGGTATAGAATGAAACAACTACTCGTGGGATACTTTTTGCTAATTGATTGTGAACAGATGCTCTATATACAATATCAGGATTGCTCCCAAGAAAGTGACATTGTGAGTGAATATACATAGGAATTTTATAGGTTCAGTGCTCAAAACAACCTTAATGACTCCAACAATCAATTAGTTGCTCATAACATTGGAGGGTTGAAGAAAATAATTCAAGAAAAACTAGAGCTTAATTCGATTTGGACCCTCACAGGCTGTTAATTTTGTTCGTAAAGATAAAATGCAGTTTAATTGCCATTCTAGAGGTCATTCATCAAGGCGCCATTCTAGTGAGACCACCACAAAGCAAAATTTTCCAACACCTACTAGTAAACTGTCATCAGCCAAAATGTAACCAACAACATGTAGCAGTTCCATGGTTGAGGCGAAACTTCCTATCATACTAATAGCTCAAGTCAAGGAAAACCCTTACTCAAAATCTTCTAATTTCAAATGTTTTCGATGGTTTCAACCCGGACATAAATCTAATGAATTTCTCAATAATAAAAAACTACAATAATTGAAGGAGAAGTGGATGCCAATTCAATTCCAATTCAAGATGAAAAGTTGAAACAGAAGATATGCCACCTCTTCAAGCATTACAACAACAAATAAATTTTTCTCTGGGAGCTTCATTACCCAACTTACAACATTATAAAATGAGTCCAAAGGAGCACAATATAGTTGAAGAATTAGAGGATGAATTGTTAAACAAACAACTAATTCAACCAAATTTGAGTTCGCGTGTTGTACTTGTATTGCTTATTCCAAAAAAAGATGGAAGTTACCGAATGTGCATCGCAGTAGGGCTATTAACAAAATCATGATTAAATATCATTATCTAATGCCAAGAATTGAAGATTTTTGGATAGATTAGTTGCTCATTTGTTTTTTTATAAGTTAGACTTGTAAAGTTGATATCTTCTTATTCGTATTAGACCCGATAACAAATGGAAAACATCTTTCAAAATTCATTGAAGTTCGTACAAATGGAATGCGATGCCGTTTGACTTGTGCAATACTCTTGTAACATTTATGTATGTCATGAATGAGTTACTCAAATCTTTCTTAAAAAAGTGTTGTGTTGTTTATTTTGATCTTGTGTTTGTCCATAACTCTTCTTTTGTTGATCTTGAACATCTAACTCAAAATTTTGAAACTTTCTGTGCCCATGGACTTTTCCTTAATCTTGCAAAATGTGAATTTTCTATTTCAAGAGTCTGTTTGGGCTTTATTATTTTTGCCAACACATTGCTATGTAGAAAGTTGCGGCTATTATGGACTGGCCAACAACTTGTTCTCTATTTTATTTTAGGAGTTTTCATGAATTTACCAATTTTTTATTGGTGTTTTATCCGCTGGTTCGGTGTATTGATGATACCTGTGATGAATTGCTTGAAGGCCAAAATGTTTTACCTGTCGGCTGAGAGACAACGTAACTTTGAGGTAGTAGAAATAGTGTTGAGCTCAGCACTTGTTCTTACATTACTTGCAGTGGACATTGATGCATCAATTATCGATATTGGTGCAGTTCAGTTTCAACAAGATTGCCCAATATAGCATTTTAGCTATACGTTGAGTTTGGCAAGGATTAAATGGATGCTATATATGAATAAGAGCTATATACTGTAATTTGAGCTTTAAAACACTGAGAACATTTTTTATTACATCAAGATTTTGTATTTTATAGTGATCATCGCGTGCTGCAATTCATCAATAGCCAAATGAATATTAATAGAATGCATACAAGTTTGGTGTTCAGAATCAGGTAGCTGACACTTAATAGAAAATTTGTATTATTCATTCAATTACAAATTGAATTAACTGGACTCAAGTTCTTAAAAGAGCTCTACTACTTCGATAAAGATATTTCTGGAATTTGGAATCAGTGCTTAACAGAAACTCCTGTTGATTATTCTATAAAGCATGCCTTTCTAATCAAAGGGAATGCTTTATGTGTCCGAGATTCATCTTGGTGGTAGCATCTTTTTCAAGAAACTGATATCGGCTGCTTGACAGCACAACTGGGATGGGAAAAAATGTTATTACTGAAGCATGTGAGATTTTTTGAGTCACAACTTAAACGAGATGTAACTCGGTTGTAGGACGATGCCCAGTTTGTTAAGAGCTATAAGGCACTAGCAAAAATACTAGATTATATATGCCTTTGATCGTTCTTTATTTGATTTGAGAGGTTTTAAGTTTTGATTTTATGTTGGGGCTGCCGAGAACTAAACAAAGGAGCTAATTTGATCATGGTGATAATGGACAGATTTTTGAAATTAGCACACTTCGTTTCTTGCGAAAAGAACTTTTGATACTCTCAATATAGCTCGATTATTCTTTTATGAGATTGTTATTCTTCACAGTTAACTTTGCAGAATTACTTCAGATTGCGGAGTTTATTATTATGTTTTGGTGCAAATTGTGAAAAGTGAGTGATTAAAAATTAACATTAAGCTTAGCTCAGCCTACCATCCACAGACTGCTGGGCAAACCAAAGTAGTGAATCACATCCTTGGGTATATGCTTCAGCGTCTAGTGCAAAATTACCCTACACATTTGGATGAAACTCTCAGTCAAGCAGAATTTGCATTCAATTTCATGACAAATCATTCCACATGAAGATGTCCATTTAGCATTGTTTATATTAAAATTTCCAATCATCTTCTTCACATCGAGGTTCTTTCTAAATGCAAAAAATAAATCAGCTGCTCGACTGGTGGAACAACATCGATCTCTTTTGGAAGAAGTAAGAAATAAATTGATTGTCACACCAACAATACAAGGCAGTCGTTGCTCCTAGGCATCAGAAATTTTTAACACTGGAGACCTCATCATGGTTCATTTGTGCAAGGACGATTCGCACCAAGAAAGTATTCTACACTCAACCCCTGAAAAATTGGTCCCATTCTTTCTATTAAACACATCAACGATAATGCTTCTATTGTTGATCTACCTCCACATATCCACACCCCAGCTACTTTGAATGTTTCCAACATATATATGTATTGTTAGGGGTGTCAATTCGGGTCAACGGGTTGGGTTCGGGTTGAACCCGAGCTGACCCGGATCTAAACGGGTCAACCCGAACCTGACCCATTTTTGCAAACGGGTCGGACATTTCAACCCGGATCCGACCCGCTCAGGTTGCCGGGTTGACCCGACCCGACCCGACCCGAATCTTTAATATATTTGTCTTGCTTGGAATGCAATCGTTGTGTCAAATTGAAATGTAAAAATATCATATCTCTTGCTTGCTTTAATCTTGTATTCACTTTCAGTCCAGCTGCTCAGACACGACTAGGAATAATCTTTGCCCCTCTTCTTAACAGGTGTTCAGCAAGGTCCTCACAGAAAGTGTAGGCTTTCCCTTGACGAGCAAAAAACTCTGGCAAGTGAATATCATTCTGTTTTAACGAATGTGTCAACTTTTATGATAAATGAGATTCCAAAACTTATGCTAGTTATGATAAAAATTTATCACCCAGCTGACTCTCTGGTCAATGGCTAAATCTCCTCTTATGTTTGGTGGAGATTTGAGGCAAATTGATGACATAACATTCAATCTTATAACAAATCCTACTTTACTGGAGATTGATTCGTACAGTCAGAATAATATGGAGGTATTGTTTCTTTACATTTAATAACTTTGAAGAAGTTGGGTTTGAATTCATAATCATAATTTTATGTTTGCAAAATGTGAAAATAGCATATTCTGACTTGGTTATTTTCGATAGTTTCCTTATATATTCACAGGTAAAAGTGGAAGTCTTGCAGATCATGCTGCTAGCAAAAGCCCTGGGAAACAATTGCAGGTCTCTAATGAACCTGAACAATCTATACTTGGTTTAACCAGTTGTAATAGTGAGAGGGCGAAAGGATGGTCAATTACTTTACAAAACAGGGTAAAACAGATCTGCTGGAATTATAACACGAAAGGCAGATCTACTTTGTCAAGTTGCTTACATAAAAGGAGGCCTCTTATGAAATCATTTAAATGGTAGCCATACATAACCAGTTTTACTAGTGAACTTTTTAGTTCTTAATTGTAAGAGATCCTTGTCTTGACTAAGGGTTAAATATGCCCCTTTCTTAATGTAGGAATAATGAGTTCATTTACAGACAGAAATATGAAGGAATGTTTCAGCTTCTGGCTCAGAAGTCTATGAAAGCTTGTTTGGACTCCTCAACAACCCAAAGGCACACTGCATCCGTAAGGCCAAGTAATCTACTTTCCACATGCAAGTGGAATGCCAACCAGGTATGCATTAAGAGCCAAAGTTTTGGCATTTCTGTGTAACATGTTTTTTGATTTGTTGGGTTTTTTGATGGGTTGATTGATTTTTCATTTTATAAATGACGTGAATACATAGATAGGAACTCAGTGATGTTGATGTGATAGGAATTAGATGTACTTTTTACAAAATTAGTTGATAAAACATAAAAAATTGAAAAGAAGAATGCCCAAAAATAAATTTTATTGAAAGAACTATGAAGAGAAATACATGATACAATTGGATCTTCAATTGGAGAGGAAGATAATCCCTAGCTGCCAGCTAGAGCCTAAATAACATAAGAATAAACTAAATTCAGCAAACTAGACATGAAAGAAAACAGAACCATATGTAAACACTACTTAAACATACCTAAAATAATACAATTCACAAATAACCCTCTTCACATTAATTTTTCCTCCTAATTTCTCCCTCATCTACCTTATGAAAATGCCTACTGGGCCTCACCCCAAAGGGGCGGTATTTACTGCAGGAAGGACTGCAGTTGAAACTTCCGCCTCTTGGATGTATTGCCATGTCCATAAGGATCAAATAGACCAATCTAACAATACCTCCTTTACAAAGACCCACCTTATTCGTAAGGTGAAAATATAGCTCCTTCCTCAGTTTTCTCGTCATCACAAATGGTAAGAACTTGAAGAGATTGGTCCTTACATCGGTGCTGCGGTGTATACCACTCCTCACGTCCTTCGCCCTCTTCTCCTGCAACTTCATTTGTATGAGCTTCTTGAAGTTTTCCTCAGGTTTCCCTACTGTAGTCTTCTCCTTTGGGTGTCGGCTCTTTGAATGCCAAAAAGGTGGTGGTCATCTTGTACGAATTTTCTAATCTTGCCTCCGGTCTCTCTCTCCAGGTGCATCTAATCTTTCACTCATTGGGCTAGCTCCATAGCCTCTCCCAAGTCACGAGGCCTCATCACTCTAACTGCGACCCAAATATTTGGTTTGAGCTCTTTCATAAAGTTCTCCTTGAGTAAAGTCTTTGAAAGCCTGTCCAGTCAGCTGGCCAGGTGCACAAACTGCTTATGGTATTCCACCACTATCCCCTCCTGCGTGAGGGAAAATAACTGCTCATAGAAGTCCCCTCCCTTGCTGGTTCGGAAACGTTCAAACAAGCAGTTTTTAAACTCCCTTCAAGTCCGTATGGGTTGCCTTGTATCCTTCCACTTGTACAATGCCAATGCTTTTCCCTTTAAGTACATCCCGACTGCCGTCAGTCTTTCCTCCTACGTCAATCTATTGATAGTAAAGTACCTTTCCACCTTGTAGATCTATCTATTGTCATCATCTTCCTAAAATAGGCATCTTCAGGTTACTCACCCTTGAATCTCCTCCGTTCCCTATGTTTCCTCTATAATTTCCCATTCCCCAATGGGGTGGTTCCACCCAAGTGTCTCAATCATCCCTTCTACACTCTTAACCAAACGGTTCATCAAATTTTCATATTCTCCTTTCAAATTCAGTATCTCTTGGATCATAAGAAGCTCATATCCTTTCAAATTCAGACCCTTGCCTTTCAAATTCAGCACCCATTCAATCATAACAAGCTCCTCTCGTTTCAAATTCAGCACCCTTTCGGTCATAATTAGCCATTTCCCTTTCAAATTCCGCTCATCTCCTCTCAAAACTAGCACCCCTTCGTTCATGCCTGAGCTCCTCACGCCTCTCCCCATACCCTCTATCTGAATCCTCCCTAGGAATATGCTATAGGGAGGCATTATATCTTCTCCCTCCAGAATCTCCACCTCCTGATTTTCTCTTCACCTTATCAGATTAGGTTTTGCCCAACTTAGTTTCCGGAGGCTTCTTTCGCTTCCAATGATGTCGTTTTGGGTTGGCCATCGAGCAACTTCTTTAACATCTCCTCAAGGATGGAAAATTTCCCTACCATTTTTTCATGGATGGTTGAAATTTGACTTTTAAAATCTAAAAGTTAAATTTGGAGATCTGAAATTTCAGATTTTAATTGTTCGATCTCCCCTTCCAACACTTATACCTTTCTTCTTGCCATAGATATTCGAGTTTAGGCTCTAATAGTAATAAAAAAGCAATTTTGATGCGAATCTAGTATCCAACAGCACAAAACAGCAAGATCGAAGAGGAAACACAGCAGAAATCAACAAGGAAGACTTATATTTTTCCTAGGAAATTGCTTTGATACCAATTTGATAGGAAATAGATGCACTTTTAACAAAATCAAATGATTAATCACGACAAATTGGGATGAACACCCAAAGATAATTTTTATTGAAAGAACTAATGAAGATAAATGCAAGATACAATTAGATCTTCAATTAGAGAGGAAGATCTGGCTCTCCTAACCTTAGCCTCGAGCTAGAGCTCAAATAACCTAAGAATAAATTAAATTCAGTGAGCCAGACATGATTGAAAACTGAACCTTAGGTAAGCACTACTTAAAGCTTATCCAAATAATACAATTCCCAAATAGTCCTTTCATATTAATTTTCCTCCTAATTTCCCCCTCATCTCTCTTTTGAAAATGTCCCTTGGGTTCCACCCCAAAGGGGCGGTGTTTACTACGTACAGGCGGAACTTCCACCTGTTGGAAGTAATTGTCTGTTCTGTAAGGACCAGTTGGACCGTGTTGACCACAACAACAAACAAAAAAAAAAAGAGAAATAAAATTAGGATTTTCCATGAAATCCATAAAACCCGCAGGAATCCCGCTAACCTCCAAACGGCGCCGTTCGTGTCTCATTCCCGGAAATCTTGCTCAAATCCTGCGATCTGTAGCTCCATCCCCTTCGTTAAATACCGAACCAAATGGAGCGTTCGGCCTGCTCTCTTTCCACACGCAAATCCCTCTCTCCATCTCCTTCCTCTCCGATCAAATCCCGAGCTCCACGCCTCCACAAGCCCTACCCGAGCCCAAGCACTCGGATCTCCCTTGCCTCTCCCGATACCTCTCTGCCCGACGCCTCCCACTACCGACCTCACCCGCTCAAGCTTAGTCGTCCGACCTCCTCCTCCTCTCAGCCGAACCCGTCTCCTCCTTCTCCTCCCGATCTCCCCCTCTCTGCCGCAAGCCAGCCGACCCCTTAGGTATAGGTTATTTATATTATTATTATTATTATTATTTTATTTTTATTAATAATTAATTAAAATGAATAATTATGGTTATTTGCTCTTGCCTTGATCCTCATGCCGCCGCCATCTACAACCTTGCGAAGGTATAACTCCTAAACTCTAAAACTTTGAGAACCCGTTTCAACGCATTTGTCGAGACAAAACGACCTCTTATACACGCTTTTCTTAGCGTGGTAGGAGGACGTGCGTCCCGACGCTTGCGACGAAGCGGGCAATCACCTAAAACCCCTTCTTCGAAGTTTGTATCACCACGGATTTCCCCGCCTATACACGCTTTTCTTAGCGTGGTGGGATGGGAACCTGGTGCGATGCATACGACGAAGCGGGGATACCCATAAGTACCCGCTTGCGGGGAAATAACTGCTTTTCTTGCAAAATATTTTCAAAATACCCATACACGCTTTTCTTAGCGTGGTGGGGGATCAAAAAATACACGGCCGCGGTGTCCTCGAAAGAGGGCATCTACCATACACGCTTTTCTTAGCGTGGTGGGGAAGACATAATTTTCCGTAGTTTTCCCCTAAACAGGGGAGACGCCAGAAGGTTGCCGAAGTTTCGGGTGAACGCAATACTACACTTGGACCTCTTTTAAACTCAAAAGAACAATAACACGAACTCAAATGGGAACTCAAATACAATGAACTTAGTACAAGAAGTCTTAATTTGGACTTGGACAATTCATACTCAAATTCAAAAGACTCGGACCGCAGAAGACATAGAACTTGTACTCGAACAAGAGCAGAGGACCTATGAACATGAACTGGACTTATGGATTTGTTCTTGAATGAACTAAATGGAGAACTCATCTTGGACTCAAATGGATTTTAATCAAATAATATGAACTTAATTAAGATGAGTAAATAACAAGGAACTTGGATCCATAATGAGCAAGGCTCTAAATAAATTTGAGCATGAAATGGATTTGGCATGAGCCTTGGCCCAAATTTGATTTGGACTACAAAAGACTTCAGCTCAAACTTGAGCACTAACTTGAGACTTGTGAACTTGGTTTGAACCAAGTGAGAAGAACTTTAATATGACAATAGGGAATTAATGACAAGAAATCTTCAATCAACATCAAGATGATATCATACCAACAAAGGTCCAAACTAAATACAAAGGAATACATATGAAATTTGTAAAGGAAGACTTGCAATGACTTTAGAATCTCCAAACATCATTCACTCACAAATGATGATGGAGACTCATGCAATCAAATGTACCCAAGCTTGCAAGCAATGAAATTGATAAGAGCATGTAAGAAGATTGTAGTAATCTTTTCTACGTCCACCTAGGGACACTAACAAAGAGATATAAATAGTATATGATAATGTAACTTGTCAACGAATGAGTATAGAAGACATGTCTACAATCAAGTACAGGAAGAATGGTGAAATAGACATCATGTCCGTAGCACATTCAAGTTACCTACCAATTGTTGTGATAAAGACACTAACATCTCCATGGTCAACAATTGTCCAACATCAGTCAAATGCACCAGCTCTCTATAAGCAAGGATAAAAAGATCTGCAATACATACAATCTTTTTACGAATACAGATGTATGTATAACATGTCATTTATGGGTAGATATAGAAAGACTTCAGTAAATGCAGTATCCTGAAGTCAATTTTAGTCTGTGAAGGAAGACGTCTTCCTACCTACATGCAACAGTAGAGGATGCACTGAAAAGATCAAAGACCACAACAAAATGCATGGAGTACTACGACAAGTGCAAGCTCCTACAACCAAAGCAGGAGATTGGTTAGTGTACTATAATCTACCTGCACAAATCATGCAAGTAGTGCACGATAGTCTACCTGTACGAAGCAGCAAACAACTCAATTCAAAAGTTGCTACGC